CTCAACTACAGTGCGCCACATAACTCCATGACTCAAGAAGACGACTCATAACTATACAAGCAGTTCCTGGGCAAGCCGGCGGCGGAAGTTTCCTATAAGAAGGAATTGACCTATAGGAGTGTCCCGGTTCTTTCCACCATGCGTGTCCCTCATATCCCTCAGTCAGAGCTGCCAGAGCTAACTGGAACTAGAGCTATTGAAACTAGAGCAAAGGATGATGATGGGTGATGAGTGATGAGTGAAGCGTAGCTCTAGCTCTAGCTCCACTAAAGCTAACTGGAGCTAGAATTGCCTCCACTGACCGTTCACCACGTGGTTGTCTGACATATTTCAATACTAGACTCTCCACAGTCGTCGGCGAAAGCAAATTCCAACCAAACAAACGTTTTTAACACCTCAAACCCACGGACCAGTCCAGTACTTGCCAACCGTTTTAAGTAAGCGAATTAGCTAAAATTTGTCAACCTCTCAACAGAGCCGGGTGGCCGGGAGTGATGACTCAGCTGCAGCGGTGCTAGAGCAGCCGCTTGAGATGACTCATCCACGTACTAAAGTTGTACTCCAAAGTCGCCAGTTCTCAGCCTCCGCCTCGCCAGATTACTCTACGTACTAAAGTTGTACTACAAAGTCGCCAGTTCTCAGCCTCCAGCTCCCCAGCCTACTCCGCGTACTAATGTTGTACTACAAAGTCACCAGTTCTCAGCCTGCAGCACATGGAGGTTCACAAAGTGCTGTGCCTGCCACGAAATCTGCGCATGAAGGTTCACAATGTGTTGCACCTGCCACGAAATCTGCACATGGAGGTTGACAAAGTGCTGTGCCTGCCACGAAATCTGCACATGGAGGTTCACAAAGTGCTGCGCCTGCCACAAAATCTGCGCATGGAGGTTCACAAAGTGCTGTGCCTGCCACGAGATCTGCGCTTCAAGAAACAAGTGAACACTCTAATCACAATGGAGGGACGATTCCGACCATGATCCGAGAATGACCCGAGACCGTCTCGCACACGTCGTTCCACAGAGCTGGACTTGCCAGGTTCGTAGCCACCCTTTGTATTGAAAAACACGGCATTTCGTGCGTCCGCTATCTCTCGAAAACGCATTTTGTATTGCACCTGCCACGAAATCTGCACATGGAGGTTCACAAAGTGCTGTGCCTGCCACCAAATCTATACATGGAGGTTCACAAAGTGCTGTGCCTGCGACGAAATCTGCACATGAGCTATTGAAACTAGAGCTACCTGCAGCTAGAGCTTTTGAAACTAGAGCTAACTGGAGCTAGAGCTATTGAAACTAGAGCTAAAGTAGAGCTAACTGGATGATGAGTGGTGTACGATGGTATGATAAGTTGTGTATGAACAGTGGTGTATGATGAGTGATGTATGATGAGTGGTGTATGAGAAGTGGTGTATGAGAAGTGGTGTATGAACAGTGGTGTATGATGAGTGGTGTATGATGAGTGGTGTTTGACGAGTGGTGTATGATGAGTGGTGTTTGATAAGTGGTGTATGAACAATGAGTGGTGTATGATGAGTGGTGTGTGATGAGTGGTGTATTGAACAGCTGCTGAATGTCCGTAACACGGAAGTTTTGCACACCAAACTTCCTTTGAATAAAATACACTTATAACATAATTCGAGTTATATGTTCGTTGTCATTGTCAAAAATAAGGCTGCTCACGGAACCGCTCTGTACCGTTCCCTGAAAATTGGTAAGTTCGCCAAGGAACCGTTGTGTACCGTTCCGGGTTATGAAAACCAGAAAACAGATAATAGTTCTGTACCGTTCCGGCACGGGGACAGTCACAGTACCGTTCTGTACCTTTTTTTTAAACATGACAAGGAGATTCCAGGAAACCGTTCTATACCGTACTTGGGAAGTATCTGTTTGAATAAGGTTGTAAGTACGTTGATAAGTTGATAAGATATGTTACATGAGAATTGACAATTGATAGTTATATACACAAGTAAGTTGCATGTTACATAAATTAAACATATAAGTCGTACGGACGTTTGAAGTTATACGTTTTCAAAAATCTAGTCTAAAGTAGTCTTAAGAGTTTAAGAGTCAAGTTGAACACTTGATTTCGCAATCCTAACCAAGCAACTAGTTAAGGCTGTGGGACTTCAATATAGTTGCAACAAATCTGCAATTTCCCAACACCCTCTTTTCACAAAACAATGTTTGTTACATGGGTTTGGGCTCTTGCCATCCCTGAACTCTACAAAGGAAGAAATTATGTTGCATCTCCCTGGGCTCCAAACTTCTGCAATGTTTTAAAGCAACGAAATCTGTTACATAGACCTGGATAAAACGGATACCTGGCGCAGAACCAATCGAATACACAGCCACAAGTGGAAATAATATATATACTGTATGTTTATATATATACATATATGTTGGTTATGTTGTTTTGTTTAGAACAAGTTTGTTGCAACCTCGCTGGTCGCTGTTGGTCATCAGTCTCGTTGCCTAGGAGATCAAGCGGTGCAAAGCGACCCGCCACCCATGGGTTTCGACGACAATATCATTAAGGACCAACCTGGCTGCTTGACACATGCATATATTTGGTTGGTGGTTCGTCGACAGGGATTAATATATAAATTAATGCTGATGACTCATATGTTTCAGGTGGGTTGAGACCGCTGGCCAGATGGTGGAGCAACGGACTACAGACACACACACACCCCTCTAGGAATTGTACATCATGTTCTATTTGTGTGTTCTGGTTTCAGAGTCTTTCAAGCAAAGCTACGCTGGAAACAAGCTTTTGGAACTGAAGTGGAATTGAAGGCGATAGTTATATTGTACAGGTCAGATTCTCCAGTACATGGCCTCTAGAGCTATAGGACATCCTATTGTTTGATTGTTCCCGCGTAGAGTCGTTTGAGATACCAGTTCGGATATTTTTTCCCACTGGCCTGCCAGCTGGGGTCTTCAAACAGTCGATAGGTGCATGGTTTGATCTCTTCCGTCGAACGACTCGAGCCACCGGCAGTCGCAGAAGTCACCGAAGTCGTCGCAGGATGCTCAGCCCAAGTCCCAGGGCACCCAAGCCGCTGCGCCCGCACGGCCCTTGAGCGCGCTGGACCGAGCGCATTTGCTCCAACCCGTGGGCGGAGGGCCGACCGCACCGGGCGCGGCCGTTCGGGCCGCGGGAATCAGCGGCCCTTCAGCACTGCCTGGCGAGACGGCGCCAGTGAAGAGGGAGTTGAGATGCTCGGTGATCGGTTGAAGCGGCCTTTCCATGCCTTTGGGGAGTGGGAGATACACGGAACTGTAGTATGCGCCTTTTTTGCAGGAAGAATCCGCTTTGCTGGGGAAGGAGCCTGAATAGTTGGGGCCTTCAGCCCTTGCTGTAGGCTGTTTTTTCAAGATTTGCCAAGCAAGGGACCTCGGTGAAGACCGTTTGAGGATGGATATGGATGTCGGATTGAGTCTGTGTGGGGTAGTGGATGTTTACGTCAGGACTCGAAAAGGACATCTCATGGTGTGAACATTTCGTATTTCTATTCCGAATTCCACACCAATTCAATAGGTTAGTAGATGAAACCGCCTGTTGCTGACATGTGTTTCTCAATTCCTGGCCCATTCTTTGCCTGCAGCCTGCACCCCCAAGTTTGGGGCACCCCCATCCTTCCGCTCAGGATGGAAGTTTGAGGATGAGGACCGGAGATCGGTCGCACTCGCCGATTCGGATGAAGGATGGACGAAGGACAGATGGATTGGTTCCCTTTTTGGGGACGAATATGGATGCATGGATATGGTGATGTAGCCAACTGAAGATCACTGGTTTCAAGTAGTATTGTTTTCAATGGTGACCATGTGCCATCATTTGCTTATGATGACTAGGTTGTTCAAACTATGAATGTTCAACCAATTGCCTAACAGGATGACTCATCATACATTGCCAGGTGAACCTGAACCCAACCATGACCAGTCACCTAACTGCCCGAGTAGACAGGATGAACGTGGTTCCGTAGAGCTCCTCACCCAAACAGTTCAAACAGTTTCTTTTTAGGAGGCGCTGGAACCTTCTTTCGAACGTCCGGCCTCGCTGTCGGTGAACGTGAAACCGTGAGGCACTGCCAGTGGATCCCGTGAAACAAATCACTTCAAACGACCAAGGACATTCGACACACCACGACGCACTTTGGGACATTTTCTCCCCTTTCAGCACCATGACAGTACCCACGATTGAAGCCAAGCGCCTTCACCCTGCGTTTCAAGCACCATGACAGCACCCAAAAGCATAGGTGCCCCACAAGAACAACGTCCTCTCTGGCGTTTGAACGCGCAGGATTTGCTGCAAGCAGATGAGATCACATTGGAGTTCTTGAGCTTTCGTAGCTTCGCTGATCTGGAAGGCCCGGCGCATCTGGGTGACCTTAATGGGTCATTTTTTGGTTGACCTTAATGGGTCATTTGGGTCATTGTTTTGTCTCACTTAAGGTACATGTGAATAAATCACTCCTTCAGCCTTCCAATCATCCAAGTTCCTTTTCCTCTTCCGTGTTTCATCGGGGTCAAAAACGATGTGCACCCGTTCTCCCCTTCCGCGGGACCGTTCGGTGCGGTGTGAGAGTGACTGGGGCACCTCTTGTTGGAAAAAGCTGGGTAGGAAAAAACAACAAGATCTCTGAAGGTCTCTGAAGCACTTTGAATTGTTTTGCAATGTCCTGCTTACATTCTGGCTCGGCTGCAATGCTAGCCTAATGCTAGGCTAGCGCCGGCTTTTTAGCCATTGGCATTCAATGAATTCAGGTGGGGCATCAGCATTTGCTCTTTGTACGAAACCTCAGCCGGACAGGTGTTTGCTTTGTGAGGAACAGCCCGACATCAAGTCTAATTGGTACATAGGAATCCCCAAGCGCCAGCACTTGAATGAGTTCCGGCCAAAAAAGCTATAGCTTTTTATAGCGGTGTTTTGCATTGGCGCCTACTCCACTGGCATTCCCCACTCAAGGTCATCGTAGGTCATCACCTCCAGAGGCTCGAAAAATGCCAGGTGAGCGGATCTACTTCCAGCTCCGCTTCTTCCTTTTTCCGGTGGTGCGGACTGCTGCAGCCACCATTGCCACGAAGGCTGGGGAGGCCACGTTGCTGCGCAGCGCAGTGTCTCGGCGCTTCGAGCTGCGAGCGGAGCACGCCGAAAAGAGGAGCTGATGATATGGGAGCGGAGCCGCAGCAATTTGGGAATAGGTTCGACAGGTTCGAGTCGTCTGCTTTTTCCTGGGATTTCTGATTGGAGCAGCTGACGTAAATGGTGAAGAGTGAGGACTTATTCTGCTACATGTTGCGACCATTTCCTGATATGCCTTACTCCCAATTTACTCCCTACTTCAAAGGAAACAATATTGTCACATACCTCCTGAGTGTGAGTGCCTTCAGTCGCGGCAGTCGCGGCCGTCTATGTTGCATCAACAATATATACTCCATGGAGTCATTTGAATATTAGCATGAACACGTATGTCAATATGTGCTGCTGCAGCTCTTGGAAGATTCATTCCACACCATGTTCATCCATTTTCCCGCCAACCTCCAAAAAGGACTGTTCGCGCTATTTGCGCTCCGTCGATGCAGCTCCTTCCAACCTACCAGACTCTTCGTCGATCAAGGTCACAAACGAGCGCTTGGCCACGGTCTTCAGCCTCGACGGCTATCGCCTCAATGACCAGGTGGCGCGACCCGCCGCCTCGGTGCACCGGCGGCTGGTGGAGTATTTGAGCGCCAGAGAGGTGCGGGATGCTGGTGGAGTTGTGGGGAGAAAGTGCCAGGAGGATTTGTTGGATGTTGGCATCGTTGAACATACAACAAGGACATCCAACATGATCCATGACGCATTCCACAGGATGTTTATGTTTAATGTTATAATCACAGTGGATGAACTCGGCGAACACGGCTGTTGCTATTTCTTGATGGGGACAATGCAGTTGCAGTGCTTCTCCGGTGTCCCAGCAATTGCTTGCAAGTGTCTCTGGGTCAAGCCAAAGAGCCACGAACCATTGGAAGACTTTGCATATCCCCAAGCACTGTGACCCCAATAGACAAAACATGGTAAATCATTGTAAATCACCCAAACTATGACAACCTTTCTACTGGTACCCCCTAGTATCCGTAGTATCTCACCATTTATCTTATCGATTGTGTTCGATATCTTCACTTTGATCCACACTTCCACCGCACCCAGATCCGACCTGTCCCCACCTGGACCTCGGACTTCCGCCACGAAGTTCCTGGTTCGTTCCTTTCTTAAATCGTTGCCAGGTGGATGTGGAGCTTTGGAGTGCCGACTCGGAGATGCAGCTGGGCGTTTGCTCGGTGAAATTGGAGACCTTAGTCCGGCAAGGGCACCAGGCGCCGCTGCCCCCGCGCCCCGGGGCGAGGGTCGGTTCGGGCAGCGGACGCGGGCAGTGGACGCGGGCAAAATAGGTGTAGAATGAATATGAGTGTCCAACTTGAGAGTAATTACCAAAAATTTTGCTGGTTGCGTGGGTGCCAAGACTGACCGACAAGATCGGTGCCAGAAGTGTTCGTACAAACGCAGGTTGAGCCCACTTCTGAGGATACCAAAAGCATCAAAAACTGGCTCTGTGGATCTCTGTGGGTCACAAGCGAAGCGAGAGAAGTGGTTGATGGACCACACCCACCGTGAGCGGTGTTACGGGTTGTGGTGGGTTGGTAGATGAGGCATCATGAACTATTTTGACATTTTGGTACAGTACGTTTAGAAATTGGTGTGATGCGGTATTTGATTCTATTTCAAATGTTACAAAACAGTTATAATGCCTTAAAACTTATAACAACACTGGATTTCTTGCCGATTCCTCAACTTGAACACATTCATCACGTCTTGTCTACGGTTTTCCTCTACCAGGTGCCAGGTGGGGGGGGAACAAAGTGACGTGGATTCCAAAGGACTCCAACTGATCCCAACTGAACACCGGAGGTGGCGAAGCTGGAGGCGGAGCATGCGGTGTTGGAGCCGCTCAGCGGCGAACCCAAAGGCACTCTCCGGATGCTGCTGGTGAACCGCGGACAGCCACCAGTCTGCACCAAGCACGGAAGAGCAGAGTTTCGGGAAGAGGGGGAGAGAGCAACGAGTTAGTGTTTTTTCTCGGGGGTAGGTGCAATCAGAAAGCCACTGAGTGGCCTGAGTGAGGGGTTGAAGGAAGTTGTGTTGTGTCTATATTAATATGGATTTGACACTTGATGTTTCTGTAGATGATGTTGTTCCAGGGCCTGTGACTCCACCTCAGAAGGTAGGTAAGGCCATGTTAGGTCCAAGTCCAATAGCTTCACACCTTCTTTGGAGGTACTGGTACTGATGCTTAAATTCTTCTTACTCAGCTACCAAGACTCAAGACCTTTGAAGGAATGCTGGTCCTCTCAGACATGTGCAAAATCATGCAAAATCGAACTGTGCATGGATGTTCGCTTCGTGTAGAGAACAGAAGGAGCGGGTTTGGGAAGCCTAGGTTTGGAAGTTAGCCGGAGGATGATCTCGCAACAAAAATATATACAGTACTTTGTCGGCGAAGAACGCAAGAGAAGGGTGTTTGGTTTGGTTGACAGAGGCAGGTTCTTAGATTGTTTGATTTGCTCGGTTTATTCTAACTATATAAATCAATCTCTTCCCTGTTGCTTCCCAGAATCAGCTTCCAATCAATTCTGTTCTTTTCAGGTGAATCTTCCCCAGACCATGCCACCATGACCGCCCTGAGGCCGCCTACAGCTTACAAGGATCTTACGCTGCCACTGCCTCCTCCAGCTCCTCCGCCACCCGATGGGGGCAATCCCCAGTCGCCTCCAGCGGCGCCCTCACCCACGCGCGCGCGGGCAAGGCATAAGGTCTCAGCACTGGAGAGTGGACTGATTGGAGGAGGCCAGGTGGGCGAGGTTGGGCTGAGAAAAATCCTGTGACCGGTGGGTGACCCTTCAAAACGAATCCCACTGAGGGCCCCAGGCCATGTGGACGATGGGTGTGTTCACGGCGACGTGGAATGATGATTGCGAGTTCAAGTGACGTGGGTGATTGATGACATTTATTATTGCCAGGTAACCCCCATGGCATACATTCTCAGGTGAAGATCATTCCGATGCATGTCCTGGGGTATCATTACAGACTTTTTAACCCTGGCAGCGTCCAACCTGTATTTGTTGTGTTGCTTCTTGCATTTTGTGTGTTTTTCAGCTTGGAGAACTGCCTCAGATGGGCTGTGGGGGCGGCTGAGGCACCGGTGCTGATCCCACGATCGACCGATGGGTGACGATAAACCGGGATTTGAACCCAAACTTGCGCCGATTCAAGTGAAAGCCCTTTTTGGCCCTTTCAATTGGAACGTTTTGAGGTGGCTGAAAGGTTTGAGGATCATTCATTGCAGGTCAACCTTTCTATAATATTCTATAATTAACTGATGATCTTGAGTTTTTCCTCCAGGGAGCTAGAAGGTGAAGATGGGACCCCTAAACATCAAGGTTCTGTACAAGCCGGACCGTGGGACCATGTGGGACCTGATTTCTCATCATTCTCCCAGTTTACCCATGTTTCACTGAATCTCTTCTCACACTTTCTATCTCCACAGGTGGCCACATGACGGAAGAGCTCCAGCATCAGAAGCACGAGCGCCTTCGCCAGCTGCGCCTCCTGCGCTCCGACCCCGGCCCCGACGCCGCGCACGTGGGCGACGACGTGTCGCAGCACCGGGCGCGGATGGCGCAGGCGGAGGCGGTGCGTCAGGACCGAAAGAGACAAGAGGCGCGGTGCGTCACCGCATGGCCGTTGCGGATTCTGGGGTAGCTCAAGTGTTGGAGGAATATAAGGATCTTCGGAATTGCTGTAAAAATCTATAGATGGGCAAAGCCAATGCCCTAAATATATGGTCAAAATTTTGGAAATTCAATCAAGAGTCTTGAGGGGATGTTCTGTGCTGCAGAAACCATACCCCGCTCACAGGTGGCCCGGCGCATGGATCGCTTCAATACCACGCGGCAGTCGCTCTCAGTGAGCTTCGCGTGCCCCAGCTACTTCACAGTAGACTTCACCAACCCATATGGGCAACAGGCGTGTGGGGATGCCATTGGGAGTATAGGAGAAGCCCATCAGGGAGATCAGAGATGATGGGAGATAAATCGTAAATCAAAACAATCACGAGGACAAGTGCAATCCCACCCCTGCCAAGGTGTCTGAAAAGACTTCTTTCACAGTCAATGACAAAGAAAACTCAGAAGTCAGTTAGACCCTCCAAATGCACGACAAACACCTTCGATATGTTTTTGGGTTTGAGCATGACTCCTCCTGCGTTTTTGCGTTGTTGTTTTTACCTCACAAAGATCCAGAGAAGATGTGTCAAATTGGGATGAGTCCAGTATAGCGCTTTGCCACAAACATCCAACCCGCATTGGATTAAGACTTCTGGCTTTGGATAACTATTACCGATTGACAAATCTAGACAACTATCCCAGAGGGGCCATTGCATCCATATAACACGGACGATGGGGACAATGAGGGAAATAAACGACAATGCTGTATATGACGGACGATTGAAACCTTAGCACCGCAGCCATGTTTCACTACGTACATGTCGATGAGATAAGACCCAACAAGTGGATCCAAAAGCATCCATATTGATCCTGCATGTTGCCAGTTGGTGATAGGTGTTGACTTCTTCAAAACATATACGTTCTTTTGAAGCTATCGTACCAATCATGTGGACCCTGTGGCCCCATGAATCGGGCCCGATGGAAGAGGACACGTCCCTACCTTAGACCTTGCAGCGCCAATCCCTCAGGCCCTTTTCATCGCACACCGCATGTGAGGCAATGCCCTGGCTCGTCAGAGTCCAAGCCTTGGAACGGTTGAGCTCAGGCGGCATCAACTGGAAGATGCAGGCAAAGCATGCAACATGCATGCATGTCGATCTAAATGAATGTGTTTTTTTCGCGTGTGTTCAGATCAAAGGTCTCAGGGATTTCTAGCCAGCTGTCAGCCATGGCTGATGTTCCAAAGAAGTTCACCTACGCTGAGCGGCAATGTTCACAAGAAAAGTGCAGGGAGTTTTATGTGCACCTGACATCATGTGTTACTTCATCTCACCATGTCCCCACCCCTGTCAACGTGAGTCATGTTCCAGCTCGTCGTCCACCCCTCAGGGCACGACCATACATCATCGAAGCCAGGTATGGATGGAAGCATCTGGCCACCTTACAAGGGATAAGCTGATCAACCTAGACCTCCAGCAGAAAAAGGCCATGAAGAAGATGGAGGACAAGTTTTTCATGACATATATTTGTTGGTACCTACATATATCCGAGATTGAAGCATGTGAGGACCCACCAGTCTTGTCTTTGAGGGCTGAGTGCAACGAAACGCAGCTTAACTATCAGGCCATTCCTGCAGTATTTCCAGCATCGGTACCAATAGCAAGCAATAGGGCCCTCTCGATTTGAAGTTTTTGGTCTGGAGGTGCATGAAAATTTTGAAGCATTAAAGCTCTTCTTCAGTGTCTTTGGGCGAAACCCTCCTACAGCAAAGGAGATGGAGGCCGGTACCTGCATGTAGTCAGCTCAAACTTCACAAGCATTGACCAATATATTATAATATATATATAGCCTCCCAGGCGGCCATTCTGGAATCGGATGACAAACATCGATTTTTGATGGCCCAGAAGATCAAAGACAAAAAGGCGGTACTGTTCGTTCGGTCTCCTTTCATGGGGCAACAGCCAACAACACAAGCCTTGCCAGGCTGAAGCCGCAGAAGTTGCCCTCGACTTTCGTCTTTTGATCGCTGAGATCAGGACATGTGAAAGGAGATCGTCCGGTACCAGGTCCCAACCTCGGAACTGTCATGTGAACTGTTCAGGGAGCTCCTGATACCCTAACCGCATTTATGCATATTATAGAGTACAAGCTAGAGTCAAGCCTACAATCCGCATACAAGTACTCAGCCATGAATGTATTGGTTCTACATGTACATATATATTTTTTTTAGTTGTCAGGCCTGGACCATTCTCTGATGAGCTTGCCGAGATCAAGAGGATCATCAGAGACGTCTCTGGTCTCCAATGTCCATTGCCAAGACTTTTTAAAGGTACCGGTGCATGTTCCTTGTGTTCTAGTGTTCATGCTTCCACCTTCCACATACATGCACACGAATGTTTGAGGTTCCTCTAGCCGATCAAGCCTTGGAAGCAGCACAAGCAGCACTGTGCCAGTCCAAGTTTTTGAGTAAAGTACTCATTCCTCAAAACAATACTCCTTTAATGCCATCTGTCGGCCAGCTGTTTTGCATTCAGGCCCTTGACCAGGAGAGTCAAAACAAAACAACATCAGCAGCAGCAGCCGCAAAGGGAGATGTAAGGGGGGAAGGCCAGCTGGGAGAAGACCAGGCAGAAGAGGCAGGAGAGGAAGAGGCAGAAGAGGGTGAAGAAGAATGTCCAGAAGATGATCCTGAGCAGGACCCACAGGAGGGGGAAGCACAGGAGGAGGAAGCACAGGAGGGGGAGGAAGCCCAGGAGGAGGAAGCACATGAGGAAGCCCAGGAGGAGGAAGCTCAGGAGGCGGAAGCACAGGAGGA